TATCTCACTAGAGTTGGTTTTACTGTTGAATTGTTCTGAATATGGTCTCTTAAGTTAAACAACACAAAGATGAAAGAAGTTCACCATATTGCTGAACAAGGAATTACTAGTTAGCATTAAACTCTTTCACTGTCCACGTTATTAAACAGTAATTACCAATATGCTTGTGATTTCTCTTAATGGTCACTAGAAGGAAAGTTAGCCTGAAGCCTGAAGAGAAGTTATCTTGAGGACTGAGTCCTTTGAGATAGGACACAGAGATGGAAAGTCAGGAGAGAGCTTTCAAAGTAGGCTGCCATGAAGAGAGGTCCAGGGCTGTGAAGAAAAGGCAAGACCTTGGCCAGATCCTTGGTGCGGGGCTGAATGTGTCCCTAAGGAATGTGGACAGTCACAAGAGGTCTTTGTTCATTCTCCCTGGAGGATCAGAGAAGACAAGCTGAGGACCAGTAGGAAGGAAGGGAGAGTTTGAAAAATCACAGTCTAGGATGAATGAATATCTTTTTTCTGTGCTATAAGCTATTCCCCCCATTTTTGTAGTGCTGAAATGTGTTGGAAATAGAGTTGGGGAAAAGAAGAGCAGAGTAGAAGAGGGCTGGGGTGTGGAGGAGTAGAATAATGCAGTAGTTATCTATCTGCTTAGCAAATTACTCCAACACATTGTACTTTAAAAACCAAACATTTACTATTTCACACAGTTTCCAAGGACCAGGAATTTGGAAATAGCTTTGCCAAGTGGTTCTGACTTAGGCTCTCTCGTGAGGTTGGAATTAAGCTGCTGACTGGGGCTGCAGTCATCTCAAGGCTCCACGGGTTGTTTGGGGCACTTACTCACAAGGCGGCTCAGTCAGGTAGCTGTTAACAGGAGGCCTCAGGCCCTCACTGGCTGTTGGTAGAAGGTCTTGGTTTTTCACCTGCTAAGGGTTCTCATAACATAGCAGCTGGGTTTCCTCTAGAGCAAGTGAGCCAAGAGGAGGCCACAGGACTTTTATGACCTAATATTTAAATTCATATCATGACTTCCAGTTTATTTATCAGAAGTGAATCACTAAGCCCAGCCCACACTCAAGGACAGGAGAAGTAAGCTCCATATTTTTAAGGGAGTATCAAAAAATGTGTGGACATTTTAAACTACCAGAAGGCTCAAGGGAAAAGAATTGGGGCATGGGGAAAGTTACGAGCTCTAGAATTCAAAAGGCTCAATTAATTAGCCATAAAGATTTAAAGTTATGCTTTCTGTTCTTTTTTTGTGCCTCTGACCACTGTACTTTCTTTTGTCCATGCATCTTCTTTTTTCCTCATTCACATATGTCATTATTCTTTTCAAGATAAGCTCACTAGACTACCTCCCTCTGGGTAAAAGTGAACTGTGAAAACATTATATGAATGCATACAACACGCATTATAATGTACTGGAGCCAAAAGAAACAGGACCTTGATTCCAGGGGCATGAAATGCATCTTCTGTTAGTACGTTTGTGGTATTTCTTAAGAACCCTCTACAGAAGAGACACTTAGATGAAATAAATGAATGAGAGGAATAAATTGCTAATTTTTTCATTTAGTTATCCAGCAAAAATCTGTAGGCCTTGCTTTGCACCAGACTCTCTGGAAGGTGCTGAGAACATAAAGAAGGTTCTGTCTGTCAAAGGTCAGAGTCTAGTTTGCAGATGGATTTGTAAATCCATCGTTACTGTGCCATATGATAAGCTATATTTGAGTGATCTCCTGCGCTGTGTGTACCTGCGATTCTTCCAGCTTTAAGGGCAGTCTTATTTCATGCTCTATTCCTGGTGCCCAGCACAGTGCTTGGCCCATAGAAGGAGCGTAAATGTGTGATGAATTTGTTGCTAAATCCATTTTATGCTGCAGGCTGAGGCACCCAGAGAGACTAACTGGCTAAACACAATACCACATGCTGGCTGGTTCTTTTCCCTCTCTGATAACAGTGATAAAGGACGTATTTTCCGAGTGTGGTTGCACCTGTGCTGACTGCCCACCTGATCCTCCGCAGCTGCAGCAGTTGTCCCTAGGGATCTCCCTTCCCGGGAGGCAGCTTCAGGCCTTGCCCAGTTCCCGGGCCTCCTTCCCTGCTTCTCATTTCTGTGCCTCCCTGGGCATCCTTCCTAGGGACCAAGTGTAGCTGACGTGCATTTAGGCTACTGCAGGAAGAAAATCCAGGAGGATGGATAGAGGAAGCTCTTCTTCCTTCTTGTTTAGGAAAGATGCATTTTTCTAAAAAGCCCCGAATAGGAATTTTTGTTTTTTTTGTCCTAAAATTATAGTATTTTGAGCAGAGATGAATTTGCAGTGATTTTTCAATAAAATGTAAGACATGGAGACCAAAAGCTTCACCCACATAATGTCTCATCAGTTCAATTTGAGCAGTGCCAGCCTTTGCACATCAACAGGTTCCCAGATCATTTAAGATATGTGATAAATGTGCCTGTGGTGGTGGTGGTCTCTTCTCTAGTAGAAGAGATTGAATTTTAGAGCACTGTAGCTCAAGTATTAGTTGCAAGACCTATTGTCAGGTATCATGTAGTGTTAAGTAGTAACTAGGTTATACTAGGCAAAATATAAAACGTGCCCAATGTTACTCCAGGGCAAGACTGGCTGGTGCCACCTGCACTGTTTGTTATAAGTGTGACCCACCGACTGATGCTGAGACCAAGATGACCAGTCATTTCTTTGGTCACACTGAATCCATAGAGAACTTGCCTGGGGCTGAAACCCATTGGCAAGACAGTTTTCTTGAAAAGTGAGTTGCCCCTAATTGGTAGTGTTCAAGTAGAAACAAGGTTTGAATAAATAATTTGTCATGTTTGAAAAGAAAAAAAATGTTTTGTGTGCCTGGTTGGGATAGATGACATCAAAGGTCTCTACCAAAACTTAAATGATTTTAACACACACACATAAATACACACACACATACACACACACACACACACATACACACACACACAGATAAATGGATGGATGGATGATTTTTTCCTTGTGATGTTACTTTGTAATTGTCTTTATTTTTGTAAATGGGACCAGATAAATTTTCATGTCTTTACTGACCCAAGATTCTATGGATATAAATAATCTTCTTTTTAGTGCTAATTCAGTGTTATACACAGTAGGAGTTCAAAGATAAATTTAAATTAGCTCTTAAGTCTAGAAAAATGTACATTTAAGATACACTGAGCTATAGGTTCCATGCAGCTGAACAATTTGATTGAACTCAGCGGGTCTCAATCAAACATATCAGTTGATCACATTAAAGGGCACTAAATATGCATTAATTTTTTTAAATAAAAAGATAAAATTTAAGGAAGAAATTTGGGTGGATTGTATTGTGGTGAGATTAAAATGCTCCCTTATTGCATTTTTGAATGATGATATGAAATTGTGGCTGGAATTATTTCCTAGTATATAAGCATCCTTTTAGTATGAAACTACACATATTATTTAATTGCATTTCAAGTATGGAGTTACTGAAAGACCCATAACAATTTCATCCAAATTCTGGTGGCAAAGCAGCCACATAAGTGAACCATGTTACAGGAATACTTCAATTTTCAAGATTTTGTATTAATAATAGAAATGGAGGTCTTAATAAAGTTCACACTTGGGTTTGGTGAAAGCTCCACTCCTTCCTCCCTGCTCCACTGCCTCTCTCTCTTTTTTTCTAATTAGATGGCTAAATAAGAAAACTAATGTTCAAATTAAGTATTTCATTTGATTTACATTGTCATTATTTTGGATACTCTTAACAGTAAAAAATTATAGTTTAGGTTAAGATGGGCTACCCATTGGGTAGAATATCTCTGCCATGTCTTCTTTTTCCTACCTAATAAGGAAACGATAATATTTCAGGGTGTGATATAATGAGTAATAAGAAATACATATTTGGTCATTCAAATGACCAAATATATATTTCCCAGGTATATTTGGTCTTCATCCACAGTTCCTCAAGATGCTGCAGTCTTAAAGGTGAAATGGATGTCTTGTCATGTTAATGAGAGACTTTTGGACCCCACCCAAGGGCAGGGGGAGGAGGCTGAATCTGCCTACTGCCAATAATTTAGTCAGTCATGACTATGCAAATGGAGCTCTTACAAAAACCCCTGAGAAGAGCTTATTGCTCTCTTGGATCCTGCTTCTGTGTTGGAGAGAGCGTCCACGTGCCAGCAAGTCAGGCCACTTCCACCAGGACAGAAGCTCCTTTATTTGGGACCTTGCCCTGGCTGTTAACTTGTATCCTTTACAGTATCCTTTACTAAACCGGTAAGTGTGTTTTCCTGAGTTCTGTGAACCACTCTAGCAAATTAATTGAACCTAAGGGGGAGGTCGTGGGAACCTCCCATCTGCAGCCAATAGCTCAGAAGCACAGGGAACATCATGGGGCTTGCCTCTGGTGCCTGGAACCTGGGACATCCATTGCTTTCTCTGGGAAGATAGCATCAGAATTGAGTTGAGTTTTTGGAACCCTGCTGGTGTTTGAGAATTGCTTGGTGATGTGTGTTGGAAGACTTTCCCTGCCCCCTAGCCCCACTACACACACTGGAATTGGGTCCGGGAACCTGAAAGGAATTAAACTATTACTGCTGTATAATATACTACTATTGTTGATCCCACAGGGTCAGCAACTCCTTCTATGTTTCAGACACTGTGCTAGAATAGCTAGAGAGCGAAGGAATGTCAGGTATGAACGTTGGCCTCACAGACACATAGCAAATGCACAGCATAACCTCACAGAACCCCAACAAAGGCTCAGAGTTCTTTCTGATGCAGGCCTCCAGAAAGTCCACTGCTAACGTATCACAGAATTGGCATAAGAGGAGACATACATTAGTCCCTGGTGGGAAGTCAAAAGTTTCTCTGGTAACAGGTCTCATTCCGACAATCAGAATCATAGTTATATCACATCTATCAAGTAGGACCCACTTCATATGTATCCTGCTGAAGTTTGATTGTTTTAATTCCACTCTCAGAAACATGAATAAACCAAGATACCTCCACTGCTGCTTTTGCCCTTTCAAATTCCTCTTCTAAGGAGTGATTTCTGGAGAGTAATGCACTGCCCCAGCGATGTTCTCTGGTGAGTCGAGCCTGAAATAAACCAAACACATGGTGTTTTAATACTGGAGTCACATAATACAAAAATACAAATATTTTCCCTTTTCCCATATTCACCAATAGTTTAAGAAGCATATGCAGTTGATGTCATTTCTGGAGTACTGCGCAAGCATGATGTTGTCCAAACTGGGCTGGTGCCAAAATGTGGTAAGTGTGCAGGTGTAATTCTACTAACAGTGGGTTCCAGCCCTGGTCCTATTAAAACCAGCACCAAGGCCCAAACTCCTAGAGATCTCACTTTCATCAGTCATGGTTCCAGGCATTGTTATTTTTAGTAAGCCTCCCCATATGACTAACAGGCAGCGAGGATGGAGAGTCTCCATTAGATGGCTAGACCTAGAAACTGATATTCAAGCTTTTCAGCTCGTTAGGAGGCCTAGCCCTTAGGTAAACCATGAAAGCTGCAGAGATGGGAGGTGGCTGCAAGGCCTTTCTCCTTATATATAAAACAGTCCTCATGTTGAATTCTCTTTCCTTTGCCTTCCTCTGTCTCATGCACCATTTCCTCAGGACATTGCTCTCTGTTAAATAATAGATAAAATCATGTCTGATGATGTCAACTGCTTTGCCATAATTAACAGGCAACATGGTATACATCTTAATTAAGCTAAATGCAAATATTCCAGAAGACCCCACCCATCCACACACACAGACACACACACACACACACACTGCACAAAGGGTCTGCTGGAATTTTAAAACTGTTATTAATAGGAAAATAGTAGGTGTATTTCTAGACCATTTTTTCTTTGCAGTTACATGTATATATTTATGTACCCTAGATAATAATATGTTTCAAAAATTTCTCTGAAACACCAATGGTATGCTATTCTGTAGCTTACTTTTGCCACTCAACAATGTATCTTGGACAGTGTCTGCCTTTAGTTCTTATAGATCTACCTTAATTCTTTTCTCAGAGATTTTCTAGTGAGTATATACTACAGTTGTTCAAACCTCTCTTCATGAGGTTCAGCATGTTTCCTATTTTTCTCTGTGTAATTGCTTATTTTCTTGTCTATCTGCCCACTTTACTGTGGGATCCATGGGGGTAAGATATTGTCTGGTAACTTTTCCTAGCTCAGGGCTTGACAGGGCAGACCTACAGACTGCAGGATGAGGGACTGTACTGAGAAGGCATCTAGTTCTTGGGGAGTAGGAGAAGCGAGGCTGGTTGAAGCGAAGCCCCATCACCCCCTTTTACTGCAGGGCAGAGGGGGTCTCCTGGGCTTCTGGGTCAGATGGCTCTGCTGTAGGTATGCTAAACCCCAGCTTCTATGGGAATTACTTGACTGTAATGAGGTCTGGGCTCCACCCAGGCCAATTAAATAAGAATCTCCTGGGGTGGGAACTGGGCATTAAGTCTTTGAAAAAATCCTTTGGTGTTGTTGAAAAGCAGTCATGTTTCAAACCCACTATTCTACAGCAAAACTCTGGCCTTCACTTAGCACTTGGCATCTATACAGCTCCAATGCTTTTTATTCTTTCTTCACCATCAAGAGACAACCCCCACCCCCACCACCAGTTTTATTACTACATGGTAGTAATACCAGGACTCACTACATGCCAGACACTGCTCTGATCTGGAGGTATGACTCCAATAGTATCTAGTTAGGTACTTTATTTTGTCTTTTCAACAAACTGTGAAGTCAGTATATTGTCAACTCCATGACACTGAGGCACAGAGAGATTAATTTACTTGCCCAAAGTCACATAGCTGGTAAGCTAGTAGGGCTGGTACTCTGCAGTCATGCTCACAAACACTGCACCATGCTGTCTCCCACAGGAGGCTGTGCTCAACTGGCTGTTTTAGCAAGATGCAAAATATAGAGAAACTATCCCTCTGAGTGAGGTTTGTGCCTGGTTGAGGGAGTTGCCCAAGAATCCCTCAAGAATACTGTGGGCTCAAAACAATAATGAAATAATTATTATGAACAGTTCTGAACATAAACAACAGTTTTAAACTGTTTTGCTTTAATGAACATGTAAGATTAATTTATTGAAACATTATGTTTTCCCCTCCTTGATGTATTCACTGCTGTATCCCTGGTACCTCCTGCAAATAGTAGATGCTTCATAAACTGCAAAATATTTGTTGAAAATATGCTGTCAGGGAATATATGAATGAATGAATTCATGTAAGGTATTTTTCTCCCCTACCCCCAGAAGGTAGCTGTGTGATTTCAATCAAGGTTTCTTGGCCAATCCAGGGGGCTAGGAGTTTACAGGACATTGAGAGGGGACTTGGACTTGGCTTTTTGTCTTGGGCTCTACTGCCTGGTTTTGGGGTTGGGGAATGGCTGCAGGTACCTTGGGTGGGTGCCCAGTAAAGAGCAAGGCCTGTGAGCAGCAGAGGAGTGAGGTCTCTGGGGCAGTGGCTGTGGTCTGAAGAGAGAGGGCAAGGAGGATGTGTCCAGGCCTGCCAGGCATCCGTGACTCACTGGGGTGGGCCAGGCTCAGTGGCTACCCTGAAGCCCATCCTTTCTTACTCTCTGGGTTGGGGCTGTGCTGCTACTTTGTTTCAATGTAGACAATCAAGGTAGGCTGGGGAGGAGGGATTTCCAAAAACACCAGGGAGCTTGACTATCACAAATTTTGGAGATTAGGATGTGGGCATATTTTTTTAGGGGGCCACCATTCAGCCTACTCCAACTCTCATTTGACACTCTTGGTTCACAATATATTTGATTAACAAATACAAAGGTGCAGATGGTTTATAACCTTTAAAACTGGCAAGCTGTTAGGATGTAATAGTCTGGTAGTGAAGTTAACCCCAAAGGTGATATGATCTTATTGTCCTGTAGAAAATTAACCTATCTTGTATCCAACTTGGCAAATTTATTTTGGCATTTCTTTCCCAACTGGCCATATAAATCTCTGCTCCTTAGTTTTTTGCTTTTGGAGCAAACTCCTTTATCTTCCTGTTCTGTCATTAATGAAATATACAAATACATGTTTAAAATGTGGATACATGATAAGAAATAAATTTTGTGTATTTATATAATAATGTCATGAATGATCCATGAATGATACAAGAAAGAGAAAGCACCCATATTTTTGTCCTAAGGCACCTCCTTTTATTAGAGGTATTCTTTACCAGTGAAATATGATCTATCTTTCCTGTGAAGCCTGATCATTATAACAGAACTCCATTACTGTCACCAGCTTCTCTTCATGAATGTTTCACAACCCAAGTAGATTATGAATCACAGGATACAAAGGGCACCATATATCAGAAAAAGGTGGCAAATCTCTTTCAGGATTCTAGACTTGCAGTTCATATTCTCCTTACCACTTAAAATAGCAAATGTAAATAGAATCTTACATGCAAGTGAAATTTTATTTTGATAGTATAATTACTATTTACTATTTAAATATGTTCTATTTTCCACATTGTTAGGAAGTCCTTAGATTAGTACTAACACAAGTGTTATTTACCTTACATTCCAAAGCCATTTACTTTGTCCAAGAAAACATAAAATAAATATAATAAGATATAGGTAAATATTGAATGTAAACAGAGGCAGTTTTCAAGCTGAGTGTAGAATGCAGTTAAAGATTCTCAAACTTACTAGTGGTTGCCAAAGGGGAGGGGTGTGGGAGGGCTGGTGGGGAGGGAGGGAGAAGGGGATTGAGGGGTATTATGATTAGTACACATGGTGTGGGGGATCACGGGGAGAACAGTGTAGCACAGAGAAGGCACATAGTGGAATAGTGGATCTGTGGCATCTTGCTGCACTGATGGACAGTGACTGCATCGGGGTATGGGTGGGGACTTGATAATACAGGTAAATGTAGTAACCACATTGTTTTTTCATGTGAAACCTTCATAAGAGTGTATATCAATCATACCTTAATAAAAAATTTTAAAAAAATTCTCAAACTTTCATCCATTGATCTATGGAACAGATTAGAGAGTCCAGATATAAATCCAAGCATATATGGTCAATTAATATATGATAAAGGAGCCATGGATATACAATGGGGAAATGACAGCTAACAACTGGTGTTGGCAAAACTGGACAGCTACATGCAAGCGAATGAAACCGGATTATTGTCTAACTCCATACACAAAAGTAAACTCAAAATGGATCAAAGACCTGAATATAAGTCATTAAACCATAAAACTCTTAGAAGAAAACATAGGCAAAAATTATCTTGAATATAAACATGAGCAACTTTTTTCTGAACACATCTGCTCAGGCAAGGGAAACAAAAACAAAAATGAACAAATGGGACTACATCAAACTAAAAAGCTTCCATACAGCAAAGGACACCATCAGTAGAACAAAAAGGCATCTTATAGTATGGAGAATATATTCATAAACGACATATCCGACAAAGGGTTAACATGCAAAATATATAAAGAACTCACATGCCTCAACACCCAAAAAGCAAATAACCCAATTAAAAAATTGGCAGGAGATATGACACTTCTCCAAAGAAGAAATTCAGATGGTCAACAGGCACATGAAAAGATGCTCCTCATTGCTAATTATCAGGGAAATGCAAATTAAAACCACAACAAGATATCACCTTGCACCAGTTAGGATGGCCAACATAAAAAAGACAAAGAAAAACAAATGCTGGTGAGGATGCGGAGAAAGGGGAACCCTCCTACACTGGTAGTGGGAATGTAAATTAGTTCAACCATTGTGGAAAGCAATATGGAGCTTCCTCAAAGAACTAAAAATAGAAATACCATTTGACTCAGGAATTACATTCCTTGGAATTTATCCAAAGGAAACAAGATCTCAGATTCAAAAGACATATGCGCCCCTAAGTTTATCGTAGCACTATTTACAATTGTCAAGATAGGAAGCAATGTAAGTGTCCACCAGTAGATGAATGGATAAAGAAGATGTGGCACTTAACACAAAGGAATATTATTCAGCCATAAGAAGAAAAAAATCCTACCATTTGCAACAATATGGATGGAACTAGAGGGTATTATGCTTAGTGAAATAAGCCAGGTG